TTTCAACGGTTGACATGCTTCTTTATTAGTACCTTCATCGAAGTCTGCAATTGGTGCCACCGCCGGTGCACCATCAACTGGTTGTGCAATATTAAAGAGGACATTCTGGCCATGTTGCCTTACACTATTTAGTGTCCTCGAGCTAAAGAGGTTACGCAACGCGTTCATTTCACAAGCTCATCACGACGTATTTATTTATACGCAATAAAATTAAAACAATATGTAAACACTAGAACTATATAAAACGTAGATTATGTATATATTAATGTATGTGCGAATTAGATTTTGTTGGTATTGCTATTCTTGGATATGTGATGAATGAATGCTACTTCACTTTTAAATTCTGGTATAAACTTGCTCAAAGCAAGCTTTTGACAGCGGTAACGCTATGCAAGAAATACCAGCTGTTTAATAAAATTTCGTTAAGACTGATAAGGAAAATTAACGAAGAAATACAGTGTTATAAAAGTAATGGTTTGTGAAATTAGTCCAATTAAAAAAATGTCAATGTAAAAAGTAGAAAAAATTCAAACTTTTTTCACGATTTCAATCAAGTTTAGCACACTGTGTTCAGTTTTGTCCAACGTAAAAGATAGGGTAGCTTATATCTCAATTATGCTAAAACTAAAATAATTCAAAACAGAAAAAATATATTTAAAATTTTTATAAATTAACAAATTTTTAAAATTAAAAACAAAATTATTGTTACTTTATTTCATTTAAATGCCAAATGAAAAACTTATTATTTTTTTAATAGACAAACATTTGTAATAATAATTTTTATATACTATATTTAAACCTCTCGTATTCCAATAATTTTAAAAATTATGCCTTTTTTGAAAGTGTTCCCAAAGAGTTAAAAATTTAAATTTCGAAAAAACCCACTGCGTTGCCTGGGCAATTATCCTTTGATATAATTTGATTTTTTGACTTCAGGAGATCCAGCGTCATGTCATGATTTTTAAAAATAGATTTCTACTGTTTCATATAAAAATTCTAAAAAAATATCATGTTTTGCTCGAATGTGTCCACATCTCCCTTAAATGAAACAGTAAATCTATTCATCTAAGTTGAACTTTATTCAAAATATATATAATTCGTAAAATATATATTATTACAACTTTGAGAACGCTTAACTGCATCTACGTAATGCGAAAACGTAGCAGTTTATGTTTCTAACCTTCGTGTTTATTAGAGTATTATTTTATTTAAAATAATTTTTGTCATACTAAGAAATAAATATTTAGATAATAATAAAAAAACGAAGAATCTTTTTTTATTAAACATCACGAGTTTTTTGTGCAATTTTTAACTGAAAAGTATTGATGTTTTATAAAACATAAGCAACATAACATTTTGCATTATTTTTTTTACGATTGTTTTAAATTAAAAACAATGTGCTAAAAGCTATTTTTAAATTTTCATTTAAAAAATTTTCATTGAAAATTAAGACTTATTGCAGCTAACCGCATCCGTACCGAAAAACAACAAAACCTTAGCCCTGGCCATTACTCGATCCTAATTCAGGTATTGAGAAAACAAATGACAAACATCCGAAACGTATTAAAGTACCATGCGTAAGTATAGCCGTACCTTCCCAAGCACCGGCAAGCATAGGAGGCTCTTGAACGAAAGTGCATTTGCACTCAGGTTTCATTGGCGGTGCCATTCTGTAATAGACAACGTATAATAATAATAATTAATTTTAAACTCATTTTCATGTGTACCTTGAATTTCTGTCCACAATGTAATGTTGGCGTTGTATGCCTCGACGTTTATCTAAAATCTCTTGAACACGTTTCTGTAACTCGATGTCCTCATTTTTAAGCTTTTTGGCCGGCGTTGGTCCATAATCAGTAAAATCGCAAGAATACAGCTGTCCATTAACTTCGGTGCCGTACTCTGAGTAATTGATGAGTTCATAGGTTTTTGTAAAATCGTCGTAAAATATAGTTGCATGCTTGGGGGAAATCCGACAACAGTGTCCAATATGGGAAAGGTTTACATCAACAGAAGTTTGGCCAGATCCAATATGCATATTGCGGTAACGCATAAAAAATGACGAATGTAACTCAACATTACTAAACCATCGATTGTCTTCTAATATGTCACCTAACGGTGTTAGAACTGCGCGTGCACGTACTTTACATCGTAATAATTTCAGCTCAAGCCGTGTTGCTATTTCGTAAGCTTTTTCTCCATCGGTACGTACGCGTGACTTGTATTTCTGCTCTTCCTCATCAGCAGCAACAATAGCAGCAGCAGTGGCTAAAGCCGGATGTAACTGTGGCAAGTCGTTATCACTATCACTTTGGTGTTGCGCCAATATGGACGACGTCTCGCCAGTAAACATTATGGATAGACGTCGTACATCTTCTGGCGAGAGTATTTGTGATGGTAATACTTGTGGTGGATCGATATGTGAAAGTTCACGTATCCTTTTGGCGGCAGTACGGTTCTGATATTGCACTACAATTTCTGGGTGTTCCTGCACGAGCTGCTGCACACGTTGAAATGCCAACTTCTTTATTAAATCAACATCTAGATAACGAAGTTCTGCATCTATATCAGCAATGTATTTAGTTTCATCGTCGGTTTCTTCTTCATCTTCACTTTTGATTTTATTCACCATTTGCTGTTGTTGATCTTGATTTGTAGCCAATTTTTCTGTATCATTATCAATTTTAACGTCCTCTTCGCTTTTGACATGTACATCAGATGAACAATTTCTGGTAGAATCTCCACGTTTGCTACGCTTTTTATTATTTTTCACCTTATTTAGTTTATCGTCCTCTTCGACTTTTTCTTTGTCTGTAACATCATTATCTGTTTTTGCATCTACATCTTGGTCCTTTTTATCCTCGGTGTTTTCTGTCACATTGTTATCTTCCTCTTCGCTGCTACTCAAGTCCTCTACTTGACCTAGCTCCTTTTGAATCTCGCGCAATTTAGCTTTGGCACTTTGGAGAGCTTCCAAATCTTTAAAAACTGATTCAGCTACAGTTTCTTTTGATATTATTTCAGGAGAACTAGGAAGACATTTGCGTCGTTTAACTATATCGTAACGCAAAGTTTCACGTAATGACGGTAAGAGAGGGGGAGGATTTTCGTAGTGATACTTGACCATTGGAGGAATTTCAATTGTTTCACGTGTTTTAATTGGCACTTTGATGCGAAAGGGAGGATTACGCATGTGAACGCGTCGAAAAAATTCCATTTTTACTGATTCATGATCAAAAGGTTGTGAAAATTTATCCCATAAACGAATGCGTTCTGTTGCTGAAATGCTGTTGACAAGATGATTATCCTACAAATCAAAATATATATACATTAAGTTCATCCTACTAAAATCAATTAGGAAATTATTTATCTTACAATGAAGTTTTCCACATGGTTCGGGCACATCCATAAACCAGTTGGTAGTGCAGTCATGGGTGGATTTAGGCAATCCTGATGAAAATATAAAGGACAATAGTCACATGCCACCAGCGGAGCTTTCTTACAAGACTTGCGACAATAAAAACATGTTTTAGCTGGCAATGGTACCAAACCCTGGGAGTCCAGCTCATATGGTTTAGAATTCCTTCGTATATTGCTTGGTTTTTTATTTCCATTTCCATTCTTGCGAATAGGTTCCACTAAAATAAAAATGTATTATGCATATTGTATATTGAGCCAAAATGTATACTACCTATACCTTTATCATTGCCAGGAAATTGAGAATGTATTTCTAGTTCACGGGGCAGCTCAAATTGCTTCGGATTTAATATGCTAGCAGCTTTTATCAGCTCGTCAAGGGGTGTAGGCTTTTTGTTGGGATCCAATGCTCTTTGTATACCCACTGGCAATTTTGACAAATATTTTTCTGTATTGCTCAGATCGCTACTAAAAGATGCACGACTACTGCTGCGTTTTCGTAAATTACGAAATTTAAATGGGGCCGTTTCGGCATCAACTGACGGCGTATTTGGTCGAGAGCTCTCTGTACGTGCAGCGGTTACTGCGCCGGCAGCACTGCGCTCAACAGAACTTGATTTAGATGATGATGTAGGCTTAAGGGTCATGCGGCAGTTATGACAAAGCCACTGTCCACTTGGTATATCTTCTTCTGTTAGCGGTGGGTCGCTAAGATAATCGAACGCATTGGTATTATTCAATTAACTATGCATACTTAAATAAACAAATAAACACGTGTACTTACTGGCATTGCAAATGGAAACTGGATGGACAACGATCACAACACAGTAGATCTCCACCTTCTTCGCAAGCATCGCAAAGGTCATGATTGTGTCCTCGACCGGGTCGTTTATAGTATGGATGCTTGGTATTCACTGGCCGCAACGTTATTTTTTCTTCTTCGGAGGGAGGTGGTTTAATGAGGATTTTAATTTGCTATTTGAACAAAATTATATACAAGTATTGTATAAAAGTTCAGAATTTTTTAAAAATATTCAGAATTTGTATGGTTAAAATGGATTATACAAATTTTGTAACACTAATGCGGATCGAGTGGTTCCATAAACTTTCACCAAGTTTTGTGTTGAAAGAAACTTAATAAATACCTCCATTATGGGCAAATTGGGATCCACTTCCACTTTCGACATGTCGGCTTTGGTATCTTATATTAAAAATCACGAAAAAAATCTTTTTAATCCGATGCAATATATAAATTATTCCAAAGGACCTTTAGCTGCAGTTAAAATGTTTGACATTTGTTCAATTCGATGCTGAAGGAGGTGTTCAGTGATTAATCCACTATTATGGTTAGGATTGCATTTGAGAGTATGTATTGAAAATTGTTTTTTCTGAAGTCAATGTACCATTTAACTGTTTAATTTCCAACATTCTAAATCTATATTCAGAATATCATTAATCTGAATATGCAATTTTTCATATTTTTCGCTCTACTAAGCTCTTAATCTAAAATAAAAAACATTCCATCTCAAAGATTTTCATTTATCATCAATTATATGGACATTGGCAACACTGGGCTTGAGTCAACAACTAAAATAGAACAATAACAATTGAAGTAATCGAAACGTAAAGTAAATTTATTGTCGCACAATTTACTAAGAACGGAATTCGCTAAATAAACTATAATAATACAGTAAAAATATGCTTTCGTTTTTCTCCAAGAAAAAACAAGACACAGATTTTGCAGAAGAAGCAATACAAGGACCTACGGATTCTACACAATCGAATGAAGGTGGAGACGATTTCATTTTTATAGAAAGAAAAACTTCAGACCTCGATCCCACTAAATTTTCAGCACAAGGTATAGGAATGTATCCACCTATACCTCCCGCATTTGGAATGGGCAGATATCCGGGGCAAGCAGTTTATCCTCCTATGACTAATGTCGCCAGTGCATCCGACAACGTGTCGCCAGTACCATACGTACAAGGAGTGCCCTTCGAGTTAGCGCCGCAGCTTAGCTCAAAAAGTGATTTTGAAGTAACTCAATTGCAAGTTGACAGCATTTTAGCGCTTTTGACCCGTCAAATGTCGGTGGACGAAAATGAAGAATATAATTTTGCGCTGGAGCGATCAATACAAAACGAATGTTATTAGCTTAGTAAATCGTTTATATATTCGATTTATTTAGTTTTAAGAAAATTATAAATGAATAAATTTAGTAAGACATTAAAACCTTAATTTTGTTTATTAATACATTTTTGATATGTCCATACATATTGATTTGCTTTACAGAAATACTTCAGCTTCAACAGAATTTAAAATTGTATTTTGAAGAAATGATTAGTTATTTTTACAGAATATTGCAAGTGAAATAAATATTAAAAAAGCTTATGACAATTTTTTCCAGAATAACTCTCGTTGGGTACGTAGATATCCGTAAATCAGCTGATTGTGACATTAGTAGCCTTGAATGGAAATGATAGTATGTTTGTGTTCATTCATTCATTCGTACTTTAAACAAAAACAATTTTACTTGCTACGGTTAGTATTCAACTCTGGTTTTTTGCTCATAACATTTAGAAAAATTACTCACCCTCCTCATATAGTGTTGACAAATTGCATCGTCGTACTAACGCAATTTATTAATTACAAGGAGATATCTTTATAACATATCAAGTACATATGGTTTACTTTTGAATGTATAATAATTTTGTAATTAATAATTATTATATTTTTGTAGAAAGATGAATTCTAGTTCTGTTATGGCAGGCAATATTTCCAAGGCGGAATCTGATTTGCAACGGCTGCCACAACAACAGCAGTTATATGTTGAAACTTATTCGGTGTATGTGGTGACATGGAATGTAGGCACCCGTTTTCCGGATAACATCTCATTGCGTTCGCTTTTGGGTCTTCAAGGTGTCGATGATCCGAACACACAAGATTTGCCCGACATTTACGCTATTGGTTTGCAGGAGGTTAACGTTCAACCACAACAACAGATGCTTGGTCTATTTAAGGAAGATCCTTGGACACACAAAATAAAAAAAATACTTCGTGACTACGACTATGTGGTAATTAAATCAGAACAAATGCAAGGGTTATTACTTTCTCTGTTTGTGCGCCGTGTTCATGTGAAACATATGCGGGACATAGAACCGGAATTCACCCGTACCGGTTTTGGTGGAATGTGGGGCAATAAAGGCGCAGTGAGTATTCGATTCTCTTTGTATGGTTGCGCAATTACGTTTGTGGTCGCACATTTGGCTGCGCATGATAAACATTTGGATGAGCGCATCGAGGACTATGAACAAATTATGGAAAACCATCACTACCATGTACCACACTATCGCGAAATCTACGACCACGATTATGTTTTTTGGTTTGGAGACTTAAATTTCCGTTTGATGGGCGACGATAGTCCTGCTGATGTTCTAGCTGCTATTAAAAATGAGAAACTACCTGAACTTATTGAACGTGATCAATTGTTGAACGTACGCACTAAATTGCAAAAAGCATTTCATTTAATGCATGAGCGTTTGCCAGCTTTTCCACCGACATTTAAATTTCATGAAGGAACTTCGAATTATGATTTAAAACGCCGCCCTGCATGGACCGATCGTATATTATATGCTCTACAACCGCTCAATAAACGTCCAGATGAGAGACTGGCCATCGAACAAAGATCATACAAATCGTTTCCAGCATATAACATTAGTGACCATAAGCCAGTGAGCAGCGAATTCAGCGTAAAACTTTATCCGAACTACCGAGCACCTTGTGTCAACTTTAAAGAGATCGCAGAATGGCAAATTGGTGAAGAAAATACAGTCGAATATGTAAAGCCAAATGACTTCGAAGAACGTAATCACGACTGGATTGGTGTTTATCGTGAGGACTTTGCGAGTTTAAATGAATATATCGGTTATGAATATGTGAATCAAGCTGAGTCACCACCATCATCACCCGATTCACCAGTAGATCCTTTCTTTGAATCACCCGGTCCTCAACGTTCGCGTCGTCACCATCACCGGAATCATGAGCGTTTGCGTCGCCAACAGTTGCAGGACGAAGAAGACATTCGGCTCGACTTCTCAGATGACATAAATATGAGAGATGGCGAGCGTTATTTGTTAATATATTTCCAAAACACTGGCATGCGGGGCGTAACCAGCATAGCTGGTATGAGTAACATTTTTCGTGCAATTATGCCCAGAGGCAATGCTAATTAATATTTTAACTTAGCTAATATGTAATTTGTTTATATTTCGTGACTTATTTAAATACGTTTTAGTTTTTATTATACCAAGGCGAAAGACATGTACATAGATTAATCTTATACAATATATACATACATATGTACATACACATGTATTCCGAGTTAGGAATATTTAATAGTAGTCAATTTATGAACAAGTAATACGCATTTAGACACGTTTTTAAAATATTCTAGTGTGTGATAATGTTAAAAGTGCTAACGATTTACTTACAATTTAAATAAAAGTTATACAGTTTACATTTTTGGCGATATAATGGTGTTTTAAACTTTAAATTATATTTTTTAGATACAACCCTACTAATCCACAATACCTCTGTCTAGTCCAGCTTTTAAGTTATGTAAATAATTTTGTTTCATTTTATTGTTTTTAAATAAAATTATATATTAAAAAGTTTTGTTTAAAACAAACATGTATGTTTGTATGAGCATATACATACATATGTAGCTGAGAGCGACGAAATTGTTATCAGCTACTACGATAATTCTATTTGTTTGCTCTTTTCAATGAATAATAAAACTGTAAGCTTTGATAAAAATTACCGCAATCATGTCGACCATAATATATACATATATACATAAGTGTATGTATGTATATACATTAAATATTGAAATAATAACAATTGTGTTAATGGACAATATGATTTAACTTTCAGAAAATAGTAAAATACTTAAATTTCTCACAAATCGGTTGAACGAACTCTGTCAGCAGTGTCTATTGGAATAGTTGTTAAATGATAGTTAAAATGTTATTTTTGTAGAATAATAAATATGTAAGAATGTTTTCCAAAAAGAATATATTAATGCTTAATAGTTGAGTGTCTAGAGCGCCACCTATTGAGGAATAGTCATTCATTTTGAAAACAAACACGTGCATAATAACGACAGTTTCCATGACAAAAATATCAAAATATTAAAATTAAACATTTTTAAATTATACTTTGACGTACGTTCATATCACAAAATGAGAGAAATTTCGTTTTTTTGAAAACCAGCAAGATTACTGGCCAGAGTAATTGTACACAATCAGTCTTTTTTACGCGTTTTTTCTGGAAGCAATTTACCGTGTAAAACCAGAATTAAGTGTACGTATATAAAGAATCTTTGCAAAAAATTTATCTGTATAAACCTACAAAATGTCACATTAACGAAATGTTTGTAAAAATCATATTATTCTATTCTGAACTGTTAACTAAAAATTTGCTTCATTTTTGTTTTAAGAAAAATAAGAGACTATAAGAATGAACAATGTACAATAATATGCCTCCGCAGTTACCACACTAACGGGGCAACTATTATTTATTTCTATGTATCTATCTATCTATGTATCTATCCTACAAAAAGGCAAATTCCTTATTTGCTCAGTTAGCTTCTGTTGCTTGAAAGCCATACGAACATAAGACATGATAATAATATTTAAAATTCGAAATATTTGCATTAGAATTAAAATAAAAATAACTCTTCTTTGGGTCCCAGGTCTTGCATTCCTAGGAACGAATATGATGACAAAGCGGTAAGATTCTTTGAATCTGCCCACACATGTCAAGCCGACACATTCATGAACAGAAAGTTGCAAACAGGACGAAATCTAAACTTAAACCAACTTCGCGGGCAGAAAGCATCAATTTTACATGTTTAAAGATCGGGCACACAAAAATCACTCACCAACAACTTCTTAAAAAAATTAAAATCAAAATCAAGTTGGGGTGGTAGCTCCTCGATTTTATCTAAGCGCTAAGGGAAGTATTGGTCGGGTTCAACCCATTTTTGACATACAGACCATTACGTATTCCTTAATTTTCGATCAAAAGTCCAAAGCCCAACCAAACATTCAGTACCTAGGGGCTTGTACAGTTTTTATTGGATTTAAACCATTTTGGTTGTAACATGGCACACACCGAGGACATTATTCGTGCGTTTTATCTCATTATATTAATTGCTTCCTGATTTCTTTACTGAAAGAAAGTATATAAGAATATAAGAATAATGCCACGTGCTAAATCTGTCTAAATCGGTTGGTCGGGATCCGGGATCCGAGATATGAGATTTCATCAAAAGGTGGGCGGTACCATCGTCAAATTTTCCCACTAGCTCCCACAAAGCTCTCTCAACAGTGTTTAATTATTGATTTATCGCGCGTATTTAATTATTGATATCGGAGTGAGCCGGGTTGTCCTACGACTTCATCCTTTTTCACACTGTCGGTAGAAGTTCTTATAAGATTTACACTCCTCAAATTTGGTTGTTGTAGCTTTAGTGGTTTAAGAGATATGAGCATTCAACTTGCTAGAGAATGGAAAATTCTAAAATTTTTGCCCACTACTGTGATCCTCTGTCCAAATTACAGTTTTATATCTCACTTTAGAGCTTAGTTATGATACTTTATATGTTTTCCGTTAATAATGATTTGTGAAAGTGGCAGTGATCCGATTATGCCCATCTACGAACTCGCAATTTTTGTTTGTACTACGGAACTCTTGTTTCATCGAAATATTTAAATTTTTACTCAAGTTACAGCTTGAAGGGACAGACGGACGGACAGACAGACAGTCAACCGGATTACAACTTTTAACGTCATCCTGATCATTTATATACAAGTTGCTTTCAAAAGTAAACAGGACTTTTTGAATTTAGCGCCCCCTGATGGCGTCATTTATATATCGACTAGTGCGTTAGAATATGCTACATTTATCGATTGTGCAGTGAGAATTTCATGACATTTCATGGATTGGAAGTGAAGTGATTGCATTTTAAGTGTCAGTATGCTTATGTTATCGGTGGGGAAATGAGCTTCGAACAATAATTTTGTTTTAAAATTGGTAAAACTTTTATCGAAACGTTTCAATTGATGAAACAAGTTTATGGCGACGATTGCCTATTCCATAGCAGAGTGCACGAGTGGTTTCAACGCCGTTCCCACGACAGTTGGGTCTACGAAAACCGGAACGGACCCGGATTTTTATCCGGCCAAGGACTGTCAACTCGGCAGAATTCTGCCGTAACAACAACAACAACAACAACAACAGTGGTTTCAACGTTTTCAACGTGGTAATGAGGTAAAAATTCATTCGGAAATTAAATTCATTCATATATTCATAAAAATCAGCCGAAATCATTATTGAAAATCATGAAAATGGAATTAAACATCTCCAAAACATCGATTTATCGAACATTTGGGCTTAGGAAAGGTATGTGCACGATTTATTCCGCACAAATTGACTGACGACCAAAAATTGCTCAGAATCCAATATTCGAAGGACGATTATTTGATCAAAAATAACATTTTAACCATTAACCACTCCGCGTATTCGCCTGATATGGCACCGTACGACTTCTTCCTTTTCGGAAAAATGCATTTGCACTTGAAGGAAAGCGTTATGCAGACGTAGAGGCCATTCAAAAGGCTTGCATCGGCATACTAGGGACCATACCGGCAAAGAGCTAAAACACTCGTTCGACATGCTTTTGAACTGTGCCAAAAGCTGTATTGAAGCTGAAGGAAACGACATATTTTGAATAAAATAAATTGATTTTTCCGAAAAAATCATGTACATATGTTTTTTTTTAAGTCCTATTTACTTTTACTTTGGAACGCACCTATAAATCCGAAAACATATGAAGTACCATAAATTAGATATCCTGCCAGTCTGAAATTTTGCACATGTTCTTTTCTCCATAAAAACTTGCTGATTTGTCGAAACCGCATATAGCTGTCATACAAACTGAACGATTAAAATTCAGCCCTTGCATGAAAAATATTTTATTTGACGAGATATTACATTAAATTTGGCATGGATTACTGCAAAAGGCAACGGTACAATAGTGTGTGAAGGGAATTATAGCTTCGGAGCAGCCGAAGTTAACGTGTTTTCTTGTTTTAATATAAACTTTTAAAAATAAAAAGACGTTTTTTTTTGTAGCATCGTTGTGCCGCAATATTGTTGCACACTATAAGGCATATTTCATTCCACGCAGTAAAATAAAACGCAACATTTTCAAATTTTTAATAGCGGAAAATTTAGTTACATATGTATATTTATTCATCGTTGTATGTTATTATAAACTATCTATGTATGTATAATAATGGTAATGTGTAAACACATATATCATTTTTAATGTATGTATAATAAATAGTAGTATAGAAATATAGATTATTTTGCATATTTGTATATAGTGCATTCTTTTCATTGCAATATTAAAATCATGTTACTATTTGTTTTCCTTTTAACTTACAAAAGCTTATACTAATTTTTAAAAACAATAACTACATTTTTCGATTTGGCAGATTTATTGTTTAAACAGTCCTTGTAAATACTCATAAGACATACATATATAATCCATGTTATAATTATATTCAGTTAGACTATCTTTTCTTGAAGAATTTTGATTTTTTTTTTTCATATTTAGTTGCTTTAATTAAATGTTAACTTTCTTTCCCACAAACTGTGTAGTTGTGTAAGGTCATACATGCATACGTATGTAGTTAGTATAAATAATTGTATAAAGTGTGAAGTGAAAGTGTATGTATGCATATTTATGTTACGAAAATCTGTTTATTGTCCTATGTAAAGTGTATGATGTTAGTGCGCTAATTCGCATACTTTGTGCAAATTTGAATACTAGTGTAATTAAAAACGTATAGTATGTTACTACAATTATGACACTGCAGTTTTCCCGCAATAGTATCATATCTACATATGTTAAAAAGATGAAATACATAAAGTTGTATGTAAATAGTTGCTTACACATACTGTTAACGTAAATTTATAGCAGCAATATTCGTTGTTCTCATTTATTCGAGTATAATTTAATGCAAAATGACTAACTATAATATGTTAATTGTTGTACAATTGCTTATAAAATAAAATAAAAATTAAAAAAATAATAATACATAGTTAACAAATTTAAAAACACATGAAGAGTTTATACAATTCATAAGAGTAGCTGCGCGCATTCAGTCATTAAAGTTACATTTCTTCAAATATTTTGTATTTAATTACAATTTTGCGCTAATTGTTAATTTTTTAACATTGTACATATACAATAATGTACATACGTATATTTCTTAAAATTTTACTTTTAAAATATGTTCGGAGCAAACAAATTGAGCTTATGAGCAAAACTCAATTCAAATATTTGAGGCTTATGTTTACACTTCTTAACTTATTTATTAAAATTAACAATTTTGCAAAATACTCAAGCAAAGGTAAAGCTTATAGGCATATGCAGCGGAGCTTCGATACGCACACACATCGTACAACGTCAGACAGGAACGTAGACTGCGTTCATACACAGACTCTTTTGTCGTTAGGACGAGGAAAGATGAAGACACCGTGCCGCCGTGCTCGTAACAGTTCGTTGCTATGTAAATCGCATTCGTTTTCATTAGGAAATTTTCTCCGTGGTAGCAGTTGCGCTCGGTTTCAAATTAATATTTGCAATATTTAAGCAAATTTTAATTCCATTGTTTATTTTTGTATGTAATATGCAAATATTCATAATTTAATAGAAACATTTGAGCAAGGGTGAATAAGATATTAAAATATTTTTGGCCGACTCAATGAGAACGCAGTAAGCGACAAAAGAGTTCGTGTGTCCACGTATATTACGTTGCTCAGTAAAAAAACCAATTTGTACGGCTAAATTTTGGCTTAAAATAATATAAATGCATTGGTATATATGTGTGTGTATGCAAATCAATGTGTAAAGAAAAGCACATATTTTTATTGTGATAACTGAGCTCGTGTTTAATATACATATGTGGTACGTGTGTGGTTTGGTTGGTTAACCGTATGACATATCGAAATTCCGCTGTATATGGTAAAGTTTCATAAATAGAGTCTACTAGCGTAGAATTATAAATACCGTAGTCTTAAAGCGTTAAATAATTTCTATTGTGAGGAAAATAAAAATATTAGCGATAGCATAAGAATAGTTTACCAATGGCAATTCGTCAATCTTCTGCAGGCAGGAAAGAATAGGGAAGCAGCTATCTGTTGTTCATGAAATCGTTTAAGTACTTTGATAGGCTGTAATAAAAAAGAAAAATAGTAATTTAACATTATTTTAAACAAATTTAATTTACATTAACTTTAACAGTCGCTATCATTAATACAAGACACATGAGAATAAATTATTTGAAGCTTTATCAAAAATTTTGTTTTATAAAGCATTGCTAAAATGGAAGCAGATATAACATACACATATGAATACTATTTTAAACAAATTTTTTCTTAAATTTCTCTCGATTAAGGTAACTGTGTAGTAGGCTTACTCACTGACTTTATTCCAAATCAGTTGTGTAGTTGTGCAAAACATTTTTATGTCTGCAGTATTTGTTGATTGATTCGTCATTTATTCTGAAATGTTACTTTTTAATTTTCTTAAAATTAATTTTTAGTCAAACATTTATCAATTGTTACAGGAAACGCATCATCCATACCTAATTGGAAAACATTTAAGATTTTCAGGAATTTCTGAAAGTTTTTTGAATCATAAGTCGATAGAGTTATTATTTGAAATCTTGATAAAGATTGTCAACTGAAACCATTGATTATGACCGAATACGAAAAAGAAGTTACTGATGAACCTCATATACTCTCATTGGACAAAGCATGTGCAGCTATGTCCTTACTATAAGTATGTAAATTAAATTGGTATTTAAAAAACTGGACAAGAAATAATTTCATGTTTTTATGAAATCCAATTTTCAGTGACAAAAGTGGTTTCGATACCAAAATAAGGCTTATGGAGCAAAAACATGAAAGCTGCACGTAGGTTCTAAAATTCTTCACACGTGTAATCCTTATATCATAAAAGGTTATAAATATATGTTTATCCTGAATTTAATCGGTCAGTTTGAATGATAGCTATACTCCAATGCAATAGTGGTCCGATCTGAACTTTTGTTAGCATATTGTAGCGTTGGTGTTGTATAAATGCCGAATTTCGTAAAGATATCATGTCAAATACGAAGACTTAATTCTGATTTTTAAGTTTGTGTGTCAGCTTTATGTTATAGGTGACCATTCGAAACAACTTTTTCGGAGATTGTATCGTTGACTTGGGTAATAATCTATGTAAAATTTCGTAAAGAAATCTTGTCGAGTTAAAATAGTTTCTTATACAAGAACTTGATTTTGATTGGTCAGTTTACTTGCAACAACGGTGATTTCGACATGTAAGCAGCTTCTTGAGGAGAAAAGGTTTTGTTAATTTTCAGAATGATAAAAACTTAGCAAGCAGTTTGCGTATATACAGGTAGATAGAAAGGACATGTTTAATTCTATTCAGCTTCTTACGATCATCTTTATTCCGACGTTTTCTTAAGGGTCTTAGAAACTTCGTGACAAATTTAATTTATTCTGTTCAGGGTATTAGAAAGAAATTATCATTCAACTCGACAACAAAAAGTGCATTAACACTAAATATAATCAAAAAGTTGGCAAAAAAGACGACTACATAACTTTAAATAGTAATCTTTTACATATGCACATATACATACATATATCTCAGCCTAAAATTATGTTATATACTATATTTACATTTTTAAAGTTATTATATGGGTAATACCAAAAGACACATATTTGCGTCACTGCCAAAATAAGGTACATACAAACATATTGGTTGCATATTGAATAAGCATTGTTGTTGCCTATATACTAATTGGCACTTGACACAAATCCGCAGTAAATCCCAACTAAAGCTATTTTATGATTTTTCGACACCAATAACAGCGAACTGAATTATCACTTTTATGTACATACATACATATATACTATGTGTGTAAGTATACATGTATGTATGTATGTATATACTATGCGTGTAAATGTTTATATCTTGTTCACATGTTTTATATTAATCAAAGAATGTATGTACATATTTATGTGCGCTACTTTTCATCGCTTTCACACCAAAACAGCAATTGAAATGCTTCATCATTACATTATTTTTCATTTGATTTCGAAAAACGTGCACAGTTGGCGAACCTTGCCAAGTATAAAACAATCTAAAATAAAACCGACTTCATTTTTCAAATGTCCCTTTGCAATGCATTGTGAAGACAATCAGGCGTCTACTCTCTATATACAAATACGTACATATATCATGCTTGTAAGCATGTAAGCATGTAAAGGCACATGTGTGTAGAAATATAGGTATTTAAAGTGGAATTCCTGTTTTACTTTTTTAATGTTTGTTTACATAATCTAAAAAGCCAGAAGGTTAAATGTTTAGAAGATGCAAACAAATGAACTGTACGTACAAACATATGAGTGAAGAATAGTTTGAAGTACGTTAGAGTAAATACAGAAAGAGCCTAAAATGCTCAGATTGTAGTTAAAAAGTTTATCTAGTGGAAGATCTAGTATCTAAGGAAAATACGGATCAGGTCGTGCAGTTATATAACTCTCAGTACAATGCCAATTGACACACTGTGCGTAACAGATCACGAAATGATTCATCTACCCCAAGATCGAATTGAACAAGTCGAGAGGGACAAGAAGCTTTTTGCAGAACCAAATTATTTCTCACAAAGAAAAAACGTTAAGTTCGGTTGCACTTTGTATGCCGGCTATCGGAGATTATACCTTGTACTGGAAAATATTCCGTGGATATTCAAGGACTTAATTTTGATCGTATAGTTTGGATGGAGCTATGGTATATACTATTGCAGTCCGATCCAAACAATTTGTTTGGAGATTATACAGTTCTATTGGAAAAATAATAATAAATACCAAATTGTGTAAAGTTATCTTGTCATGAAAAAATGTAAAGCATTTTTTTATTTGATCGTTCAGTTTGTATGGCAGCTAGATGAGAAAGAATTTCAATTCACCCACTAGAATTTCACCAACTTTCGCTATGTTTTATGACAAAATAGATTGCACCACTCAATGGTTTAGTTTCACATTAAGAAATTAGTTATCAAAATATTCACTTTATGGCATTGTAAAGAAAATTTGCAAAGCCATCGTAACTTTCAGACAATTACTTGAGAACGATTTGTAGAAATGGAATTGAACTTTTAGTCTTGTTAAGGTTAGTACTCTAAGGGTGCCTGCAGAGTGGGCGCTCAAAGTCGATTGGAGCGTAAATTCACGTGTGCTTATATAGCGGAAAATGCGCTCGGCGCGGCTTTAAGCGTCCACTCTGCGGTCACCTTAAAGTATTTATTTTGGTACATAAAAAATGAGAAATTCAGATATGCATTTGTACATATGTATTTCGTTTCACTCCCAATCGTGAACTAACTAGCACGCATCAACACAACATTAGATGTAGTATTGTCATTGTTATTTATAATAATATGTTTTCTGTGTACTTATATCTTGTAATGTTTATTTTGGACTTGCTTATTCTAAATTCCAAAACGCCATGCTAATGCCAGACTTAAATAAATATGCTACTTTAGTATTTACATATATGCGACTACATGTTACTAAAATTTTGTGTTAGTATTCTTAAATTTTAGTATATTTGTGTAAGCATAAGTATACGAACGCACCTAGTCGAGCAGCAGCAGCTTCAGAGCAACAAACCATACGCAATCACGATCACTCATTTTTCCAACTATTCAACCAACCATTTTTTCATCTACCCCACATACTGTGTATCCATCCGACCAAATGTCTATTCATCCATAAGTATTCCAATGCAAGAAACATATATATATGCAACTACATATACATAACTTGTAGAAGTGTACATACCAAACTATACATTCGTGAAATCGTTGCTCAAACTGAATATAATAATTCTTGCTTGCAATTTTCAACCACCCCACCACATACATACATACATATCTGCGCTTCCTGCTGTRTTGCCACGACTACAGCTATATCTATTATACGCTAATAATGTTCGCCGCGATTTTTCTTTATAGAGGCAGCTTCGTTTTAGCTTTGTCAATTACTTACATACTTGTACGTACATAGTATAATTTCTTTTTCACTTATTCGTTGTAGTTGTTTTCTCATTTTGTTCTATTTTTTCCCTCTTCTTTTTTTATCCAATTTGGTTTCGCTGGTTGGCTTTTCTCTATCTTTTTTGTTTTTGCAATGCTGTCTGCGAGTATCTTGCAATGTGCGTCGATCAGCGTTGCTGGCTATTGCTTACGTTAATACTATTGTTTTTGTTGTAGTAATTACTTTAGTCATTGTTTTTGTTATTGTAATTGTTGTGGAATCACTGCTTTGCAATGATCTGATCTTCGGCATTCGATGCGCTCACCGTCGTCCAGCTGCTATGGTATGTTGTGCATATATCGGTGTGAATAAACTGCCGACGTCTGTGAAATGAAATTGTGCTTTCGTTGAAGAAATACTGTAAAGAAACGAAAACAAATGTATATACACACATATGTATGTCCGATATTAAAAGTAATGTAGCATACAGCTTTTATGTTATTTTCTTTTCTTTGTTATACCCTGAACAGGGTATATTAAGTTTGCCATGGAGATCCGATTAATGATCAGTATGATTTGCCAATGTATGTCTGTAGTCTCTTTTTTTTTTTGAAGTATCGAAATGAAATTATGCGCACTTTAAACTGATCGATCAAAATTAAGCCCTTTAAAAAAATTGTTTAATTCCAAGTTGAGATATCTTAACGTATCTTCAAAATGTCCAAGGCTACTATCTCTGAATCTATTCTTTTGATTGGACCGCAATAGCATATATCTAACAGAACAATCAAAATTAAGCTCTGGTATGGAAAACTTTTTTTTTAAAAGATATCTTCACAAAATTTTAGCATGTATTATTATACAAAACAACGCTATAATCTCCGAACAAATTGTTCCGATCGGATCACAATAACATATAACTATAATACAAACTAGCCAATCAAAATCAAGATAAAGACGTCAAAATAATATGTTTCCCTTATTAAGTAACTTTAATTCGACTTGAAGATTGTTTATATCAAGCAATCTGTAAATGCACCTGTGATGGGTATTATAAGAAGCTTCGGCGCGGCCGAAATTAAGGTTTCTCTTGTGTCTGCTTTTTGCATTATTTGCAGGGCTGTTATTTTCTGCATATGGAATTTTTCATTCAATTCTTCTTTGGTTTTATTTAAATGACAAAATGCGTGCGATTTTAATAAAGAGCAACTGGCTCGAACTAAGTCATAAAATTGCGACAATGTGCACACACGTGCACATGTAAATTTACATACCTTTTATAAGAGAGTACACATAGTATGTACATATGTATGTAKGTACATTGTATGTATTTAAATTGGCACTCAAACTCATTACGCAAGTCTGCGCACGATTTACTAAATAGCTTGTCAAGAGAAAGGGCCACGAAATAACAACAATTTACTAGTGAGGCGAGTGCACAGATGCGTGGTAGCTACAGCGAGCTGGAAAGGCCCAAGATTTGTATTCGGTTAGGGCGTATCGTTATTAAAACCAAGACAAAAATTTAATTTTCCCCAAGTACTCGTACATTGCACCCTGGTTATTGACCAGATTGCAAATTTTTTCGAATTTTTAAGACAACAGCCACTGATCTGAAGGCGGAAAAACGCATTAAGAATGAAGTGGCTCCATAAAACAAGCACCAAAAAATGCGAATAACGTTAATTATAACAGGAAAGGAAGAGCAAAGTTCGGTTCAAGATACGGTTAGATACTTTACGATTACGTTTTTGACTTAAAATTCAGTCGCAATGGTGGCTCAATACGATGGTGCATTATAATCGCGGAAAATCTGAACTGTTATTCCACAATTCTAGCCGTTTTGACGGATGTTCTCACGCAAACGCTTCAATATCGCCAAATAGAATTCCTTATTGACTGTAATGTCTCTCCGGAACAAATTATAATACGCCAAACCGCGAATGTCGAAAAACAATGAGCTTCACCTTGATTTTTGAGAGGCTTTGGCGTGGTTTTTTAAGTTTTGGCTCTTTTTTGTCTCATCGGTAGTTCTAATCCTCTCCATGAATGTGGGATCGGAACTCGCCCAATCAAGCATGCCCAAAGAGACCGGTTTACGGCACTCTTTTTAAAAAAATTTAGCGTTATCGGGAAGAGTCGAGCAAGAACGCATTTCATACCCAAAATAATCACAAAATGATCAAGGCACTTCGATGACGATTCTCAAGTACTAGTTGAAATCGAAGGTCGTTCAGAGCGAGGTATGTCTTTGAAGGCTAGCGGTAACTCGGAGGCTTGAAAACCGTTTTTATTGAAAAAGACATCTTCAGAAATTTTACATAGATTAAAGACTAAGGGAAAGGTACAAACTCAGAAAAGATCAGAGATGTTCAGATCAACGTATAGCTGTCAGATTATTGTTCAAAGTAACGTACATCTCAGCACAAATTGCTCAGTTTTAGTTTTACTTATAGGAAAAGCAGCTCTCAAGGGTACTATAGCTACGGTGCAGCTTAAATTAATGTTGTTGTTGTTGTTGTGACGGCAGAATTATGCCGAGTTGACAGTCCTTGGCCGGATAAAAATCCGGGTCCGTTCCGGTTTTCGTAGACCCGACTGTCGTGGGAACGGCTGAATTCTGAAATTAATCTTCGTTTCGTGAGGTTAGCTTATATAATATTATAGCCTACGTTAATTTTATCAACACATCTCAGAACTCAACTGGTAAACAGATACATCTTACAGTTAGCTAAAGGATCGAAAACCATTAAATAATATAAGTATATGGAGGCTCCAGGAATGTACGGATGATTTTATTTATCGGAACATCTCTTATTAAATTTTAGCACCAAACAACAATGTGTAATGAAAATGTACCTATTTTATACATATTTATCAAAAATTGTTTGATATTCCGTACAAAGTCTGCCGTAAAAATTTAGAGTTTCAGAAATAATCAAACAAAATTTGAATTGTACATTTTGCCTATGATCTGTAAAATAACATAAACATATTTTACTGCAATTTTATCCAGTAATTAGTAAAATTTTGGAATAATTGCAATTTTTTTAGACATCAGCAAGCGTTTACTGAAATGCGGTCAAAAATGTTCGGAATGCTTAAACTATACAGTTTATTGCCGTACTAATTGGAAGTCCTACCCCAACCGCCATATTCCCCAGATATTGCTCGTCCGTCTATTTTTTATTCCGTTCGATATTCCATGCTCTGCCACAGAAGCCGTCTCACTCACAAGACGACACAAAAAAATGGTTTGATTCTTGGATGCGATCACACAAGGTGAACAGTTTTACAGTGATGGTATTCGAGCTGTGCCAAAAATATGGAAAAGGTTAATACTAGCGATGAATTTATAACTAAATGCCGCAGAGACATACAATTTTACACCCAAAATGGTAAAAAAAAAACGCTTTATAACGGGTGATCCAAGTAAAGATACTTTTTTTAACAACATTTTTTGACAGATCACGCGCAAGTCGTACCAAACTGTCATGTTATTTTTGTTCAGTATTGTTTGGTAATACGCCCTAACAACGTTTACAAATCGTTCAACTTTATTACGAAAATTCACGTTCTGAAAAGAATGTGTTTCCTGCGCTTCGCTCAACTTATGGTCAACATAATCCGCCTACAGAGGGTACTATTCGCAATATTCATTTTTGAATAATATTTGACTGAATATACCACGTCTAGCTGCCGTACCTGATAGTGTACACGAAGACCGTGGAGAGTCGATTGTGCGCCGTTCGTAGCAACTTGGACTGATGTATGGAACTGCTTGGCGCATTTTACGTTCAGATTTTAAATTGAAATCATACAAAATACAGATTGTGCAAGAACTGAACCAACTCGACCTTCCCAAAAATTTTATACAGCGATGAGGCCCATTTATGGTTCAATAGATATGTAAAGTAACAAAATTGCCGGATTTGGAACGGAGAGCAACCTGAAGAGATTTTAGAGTTGTCATTTCATCCAGAACTGGTTTGTGGGCCGGTGGAATCTTCGGTACATATTTCTTCAAAAAGATGACGTTGGGAACGTAACCGTCAATGGCGATCGTTATCGAGCCATGATAATGGACTATTTGATGCCTGAAATTAAAGCTCGTGATCTCAGCAACATTTGGTGAGCACATAATTTCACATTTTGGACCTGTCGACTTTTTCTGTGGGGATATGTAAAATCTAATGTCTGTAAAGAAAATCCCGCTTTAATTCAAGCCTTGATTCAAAACTCATGCGAGTCATTCGAAAGTTGCTATTCGAAATGCTCGAATGAGTCATCGAAAATTGGACTGAACGCGCTAAGACGTTGCCGCTGCCATCATTTGAAAGAGATAATCTTCAAAATATAAATGTAAAAGAATGTTCTTTCGAATAATAATAAACATTACCCATTAAATTTTATTTAAAAAAGTAGGGAACATAGAAATAGATCACTCTTCAGAAGCGTGCCACCTTATGGCCAAAAACTAATAAAAATAAGAATTGAAGAGAAAGCTTTTTGTTTTGCTTTTGCGTTTTGGAAATAACAACGTGAGAGTATTGTTTGTCAAGGCAAATAAAAAACTTACTTTTTAATTATTATTACATAAGAGTTATATAAAACTCACCGCATAACTATTATTCTGAGAAAAATAAATAAAAGTTTTGTAAGGGAAAAATAAAAATGAAAATATAACGATTATTTTGTGAGGAAAAGAATATAAAGTGAGAAATAATTGTTAAACTTGATTTTTTTCTTATTTCCTCATAATTGTTCCGGTCCTAATTCGTATGCCTTGAATACGTAAATATTTGGTTAAATAATTGATAGTAAAAATATGTATTGATTTTCATTTATAAAACCGAAAAAGCAGCTTACCTTAATGACTCTACCCCAGAATATCCTCCTAGCGGAGGGAATAAAATTCCGGTATACAGTTTCTTGCTTCATTTTATTGTATATATATATATACCTATCATCAGAAAAAGCAATGTACATATTAATAATGAAAAAACCGTTTTGGCATTCGAAAAGCCTTGTGTGTTTTCTTTGATATGTTTATTCAGACGTTTTTGTGTCTTGTAACAATATCGTTTTATAGCCATTATTCGTTTACTCCAAATTACGAAAGCAATCTTACTTTAATCGAGCTTTGTTGTGTAACAAGTCAGCTTTCGCAGACAAACCGACAGGTAGACTGGCATATTGACAAATTGGCAAGCTTTCATATATGTTATACATACATAACTACATGTATATACTACATGTATGTAAAACATATATGTATGTATGTTTATAAATACAGATTGTATATATCAAATATATATGTACATGTATAGATGCATTTGCATGCTCACGAATATTAATATTTCCACGATTGGCGCCAACAAATAAGGAAACCATTAACCTACTGCACCGCAAAATGAT